ATTCCGCCAGGCTATTTACACCCGGGGAAACGAAAGCTTTAGCAAAGTCTAAAGTTCATCAATGATCGCGGGCGTGGATCACCAACGAAGTTTTGGTGGGTGGTCATCCTCACTGATCTCAAAAATATGGTCATGAATAGGCGGACACTGATTGGTCAAATTTAAAGATCATACTGTAACGACTGCACTACGTCAGCGAAAAAGCAAATATTTTTTTATTTAATGATTGATTAATGATGATTTCTTGCAAATATATTTCGTTTTTGCAAGATTTTGTGAATTTCAAAAGCTTTTTAATAAAATAGAGGCGAAAGAATTACTAAAAGAAGGGTGTATTTTACGCTTTGTAACGGCTTTTTCTGATCGTTGGGTATATATTTTAAATGAAAAAGACAGCATACAATTTCAGTGTTTCTTTGTACCTTTTTCATTATATTAAAAAAGAAAGCAAAGTTGCTTGAATGCGTGAATTATAGAAATCACTTTATTTCAAACTCAACGTTTTTCGATATTAAGCTTTTAAAGGCAGTTTAGTTTTATAAAGAACATTTTAAAATGTCTTGCGAAGTCGTTGAGGTTGAATTTTACCTTAAATTGAAACTTATATTACGTATAATAATATGCCTAACATGTATATGTTTGGGGAATTAAAAGTGATATTTTTAGGGGATTTTCATTTGTAAAAATATTCTTAACGAAATTGACAACAACTTTAAATACTGCATGTTCAGAAAATACAATGATTTTGTCTGCAAGGCGGGGGTTTTTGCATGCATGTATTTTCTAGTTTACTGAGACCTCGGAAAAGCAGTGTGTTTTGTGGCCCCTCGACCGCCGTTCGGGTCCACAAAACAAACTGTTTCCCTCGGTCTCAGTAAATAAGTGATGAATGCTTGACGTTTAGACGACATTTGAGGTCCTTTTTGACGAACATACAATATGAAAACGTTTCCTCAATAAAGATTATTATTAATATTGATTCTACACAAATAGCGATGTTTATATTCCATACAATTGTTCATGTACATCGGTGTCTTCGTATTTCTTTGTCGCGCTATAACTATAAGATGTTCTTTTGATCACTCAACAGGATTTAGTCACAAATGTACAATTTCATTTTTATTATTCTTGTTTTTATAATCGACAAGGCCGTACAAAAAGAACGTCCACATAAGTCAAAATTAATCATAGATTGCCACAACACAAGCCTTTCCACTCCTTGCTAAAAATATGCCGAGTCTGCATTTTTAGTGTCCACGTTTACTTGCGGCAAAATGCAAGATTTTCGAAGCCTTGGAGACGTGGTTGGTTTAAAGCTGGAAACATTGTCCTCGTATGCCCCGAACGGCAAAAGTATATAACTTAGTCGTTTCTGAATTAAAATGCGGTGTCAATGTACAAATTAGCAATATATATTAAAAAACAACAGCAAGTTTTAGCTGGGGTTCCGTTATATAATCACGTTTCGGCGTTTGTTAGATCCTAAGCAAAACCAGACCACGTACCTATTCTAATCATTAAGACAAACAGCAGAAGAAGAATTCGAAATCCGCGGCTGGGCAGTTTGTAAACGACTATTAATTTCATTCTTCAAACTGAGTAAGAAAAACACTAAATTTCGGAGGATTTCTTGCCTTTTTACTGCACAGTTCATGAACAATTAATTATTACTTGAAAGATGATATTGTGGTCCTGATACAAGACGAAGCTATGCAAAAAATTTCTATTTACAAAGAAGCGACAAATAGAAAATTTCAGCTCCTTGTCAGATATAGCCTGCATGTCAGGCGGTCCCTAAAATCGGGCAAGCCTTGGGAAGAACGCCTGATGGGTTTGGCAGTGTAATAGAATTCTCCGTCCTCCACTGGAAGGGAATTGATGATTTGCTGCGACTCTGATTAGCTGTCTCCCAAAAATGAATACGATTTAATATGTAAACATACGTTTAATGATGCGTTCGCTTGGCTGTTGTAAAACTGAACTCTTTTCGAAAGTCGAAACGCGAACCGATTGTTAAATGCGAACAAGAGATTGCAGTTAAAGTTCGCCACTTCGAAAGAATGTTTTGTCCGTTCTACCTACCTAGTGGGAAAAGCTTGATTTTTACATTGTTCTTGTTGGCGCGAGAAAATATAAAGTGAATAAATACAGACGGCCGTATAGTCTTTCTTGCAATGGGTTTTATAACCGGACTACTACGCCTAGGCCTATTAGCCGCTTCACTTTTAGAACTTTTTAAGGCTTTCTTTACAACAAGGCTTCGTTCGGGAGACGAGACAGTTCATATCGGCAACTGAAGTTTTTAATACACAAAGATCTATTTGTTTGATACGTACACAGGCAACGCGTTTATATCTCGTTTGGTTATGGCAATCAGTTCGCTTGCGTTTCGGATCTTTAGCCCACACGGTTTACATCGGTCAGATATTTCCGAGGTAGAACTAACTTCGATTCCTAAATGAGCTGAACACAATTCGTATTAATCGTTTCTTTTGCTTGCCTTAATTAATAAATAATTTCTCCGACGATATACAAGATATTTTCTCTACTACCACGTATTTTAGTTTCAAAGCACACTTAATACACAAACGACAATGGTCATTTACATTTTAATTTCGGCGCTTGCTTTTCTACCTCTTGTCGTTTTTCATGAGAGCTCCTGGTTGAAACTTTCAATGGTGTTTCTTTCGACATATTTTATATTTGCAATTCTACTTCGTCATTGGTTAGTTCGCAACGGAGTCACGTGTGAGATAGCGCGGGAAGGATCGAGCGGCTGTTGCAAAGGATTCTTCGAGCGAACGTCAACAACAAAAATTTTCCGCTTAAAAATTTAATAAAAATGGCAGAAGACACTTCGGATATGGAGAAAGAACTACTTATTGAAGAACAAGATCAGACTGACGAAGACCTGTCTACGAACGAATATATATAAATAATATTTGTACACTAGGCGTATCGCTAAACAAACGAAAACATGAGAGCATTGTTTCTGATCAACCAAGCACGCACACGGCAGTATCTCCAAAAAAGCTAAAATTACCTCACTGTCTGAGTCTGTATCAGACAACGAATCTGACAGTGAAGCATTGCTGGGAGACGCGGAGCAGGGACATCACAATGGCAATGAGAACAATTCGAACGAGGACGAACAACAACCCACCAACATGGCGGACGTAGATGACCCCTTGCTTGAAGAAATCGCGCTGTCACTTGACGAACCTGAGCGAACGGGCGACCCCGTTTCGGATAAACTAGCATTGATTGCAAACAAACTCTGGAATCATAAATTAAGTGACGACCAGCTAAAAGAAAAGTCCGAAAAATTCCCGCGACCAGCGAACTGCGACAAAGTTGTAAGCCGACGTGTAAACCCTGAAATATGGGCTAAATTGCCAAGGGCTGTTCGTGTCGAGGATCACAAGCTCTTTCGTGTACAAACCCAGCTTAGCACAGTCACTAACCTTGTAGTGCAGGCTACAGATATGCTGTTGAAAGCAAAATCTGACCCAAAAGTCTACAAATTGATGACCTGGTACGAATGAACACAGATGCTGTTGCTCTGGTCAGTCATGCTAGCCATGACCTAGCTCAAAGAAGGCGCGAAATCATCAAACCTCACCTTCACAGGGATTATATTGAGCTATGCTCACAAGAAGTTCCTGTGACAAGCCAACTGTTTGGAGACGACCTCCAAACAGAATTGACCCGCATTCGGGCAACAAACATAATTGGAAATACAACAAATCCATCATCACAGGCGCCGAGTCAACGCCGAATTTACAAGCCAAATACGAGCAATTATGGTAACAAACAGCGTCCTTTTTTATGGCGAGGAGCCCAGTCGTACAGACGACTGGAGAACAACAACAGGCGGGGTCAGACCCGTGGTCAGAACCGAGCTCGTTTTGGGCCAATAAAGAAATAGATTCAGAAGCTATTCACAAACTTTCACATATACAGGTAAGCGAATACGACTCTCTCGTGCCATCGCTTATTAAATACTTTGAACACAAGGTTGCCAATTTTAAGGCGGGCCAATTAGTACTTCCTATTTTGTTTGGAAAGAATTGACATCTGATCCAGAAATTCTGGAGACTGTCTCTGGTCAACGCATAGAGTTTAACCAGAACCCAGTACAATTAAATTTACCTGTACAGCCAAATTACTCCTGTCAACAAGGACAGTTTATCGGACTCGGAAATCCTAAACTTGTTGAAAAAGGTGTCATTGTAGAATCTACACATGAACCTAATGAATACATTTCACCCATATTCCTTCGATAAGAAGGATGGATCACATCGCATGATTTTAAACCTAAAATGTTTAAACCAATCTGTTACGTACCAACATTTTAAAATGGATACAATCTGGACTGCTATACGCATGATGCGTCCGGGATGCTTGATGGCATCCATTGATCTTAAGGATGCATACTACTCTGTCCCGATTCACAAAGACCATAAAAAATACCTGAAATTTCAATGGCTAGGGAAGCTATATCAGTATACATGTTTCCCAAATGGATTGGCAATTTGCCCTAGGAAGTTTACAAAGTTCCTTAAACCTGTTTTCTCAAACTTGAGAAGCATAGGTCATCTATCTGTAATATTCATAGATTATTCTTATTTACAGGGTCAGTTACGCAGATCAAATTATATTGTTGTTCCTATGTACTAAATGAGTAAAAGTAAGGACGGGGAGAGTATTATTACGCAGTTAGAATCCATAACAAATCAAGATCAATCATTGTGGATGGCAGAGAAACAGCCTAGTACAGATGTAAACAAAGGAGATGAAACTAATATGTCAGTTAGATCTAAGACTAAGTCAAAACAATCGGGTGTATCCAGTATTTCAACTGCCCGAAAAGCGGCAATATTATCAAAGAAATTCGAAGCTGAAAAGGCAGCTCTTCGTTTAAAGTTGTTGGAAGAGGAGAGTGTACAGTGTCAGG